CCAGGCTAGTCTTAAACTCCTGGTCTCAAGCAATCCTCCTGCTTTGGCCTCCCACAGTATTAGGATCATAGGCATGACCCACAGTGCCCAACCAGTAGTCCAATATTTGGAGCCACAGTAACTTTTTTGATAGTACTCTGAAGTACCTCCTCTCAAGAAGGACTTGTATTTGTACTGGGACCCTGAAGCTGTGTGTATGTATGTAGCATGTCAAGAATAACAATACTAAACTGTATTCATTCACTCATTCCACGAACAATTATTCAGAACCAGTTATGTGCAAGCCCAGTCATTGGTTTTGGCTCAAGTTCTTCATTATGTGTCCTAGACAATCCACATTGCCTTCATTCTGCTACACAATGAACTTTGAAAACTGAAGTGCAAGAGTGATCGCGGTGTGCTCTGCTTTAAACCCTTCAGTGATCTGCCTGATACAAAGTCTAAAATCCTTTGCCTGGCGTCCAGAACCTTTCCCAGGCATGTAAGCTACATTCAGTTTCTTGAATATGCCACAGTCCTCTCATGATTACGGGTCTTTAGTATGTTATCCTGGAATCCCCATCCCCCTTCCTCATGAGATGAGCTAACACTCATGGTTCTCTCATCTCAGCTCAAGCTTTTCCTCTTCTGACAGAATTTATCAGAAACTACTGTACCTGGCGTTAGTTTCCCTCTCACAGATGCGGGCTCCATAACAATTCTTTATTGTGTTTAATTGTAAATTGCCTATTTAAATGTATTTTGCTAAATTATGTGTTTCTGGACGGAAGGGAGCCATATTTTATGCTCCTGTCACCACACGGAGATCTCTATCTGGCATATAAAAAAATGCTCAATGAATATTTGTTAAGTGACCAAATGAATGGTTAGGTGATTAAAAAGATATCCAGACTTAGTCTTTGCTTTTAAGAAATCTAAAAAAAATAAATAATAGGAGCACACTGGTATTGCCAACTTATATACTGTGGTTTTTGTTTTAAATGAAACTAACTTCTTTATAAGAGAAATTTGTTACCAAGTGAATTATTTACCACAGTGTTATATGAAATGTGTAAAAAATATATATATATCCCATACAGACCCCTTGAAGACCATTGGAAGTGATTTTCCTGAAGTACAAATTTTTCCACACAGGAAAAGATAAATATGGAAATGCAGGGATAGCTGTTATGAAGCAAAGAAAAATAGAGTAGAAAAACTAAGCTGCCTAAAATTTCTTTCTATAGTTGTAGTTCAAGAAAGATTGGAGAGAAAATATTTTATACTTTAGATTATTACTCATAAATAGAAATACTTTATCTTCTGCATGATTACCCTATTTAATCATCATTAAGACAAATTATTCAACTTTAAAGACTATTGAATAATTTTACCCAATTATACTTGAGCCCTGCTGAATTCCTAGTAGAACAGTTTTTATTATACATAGTCCTAGAGTCATGTCCCCCAATTATAGCTTCATATTTATTTATTAAAAATCCCTTTGCTCTTTACAGAATTTTTTTTTGTGACTAGATACACCCCTTGAGACATTTCTTCCATAAGCAAAATTCTAAGTCCATTTCCTTATCTTTGGTAAATTGAGCTCGCTAAATGTTCACTTATCAACAGAATCTTAACCAAAAGCTTTGCACCAGGAGCATTGGGGTAGATAATATCACCATACAGTTGTTCATTCAGCAATATTTATTTATTTAGTTTTATTATTTTTTTGAGATAGAGTCTCAAGCTGTCACTCTGGGTAAAGTGCTGTGGCGTCATAGCTCACAGCAACCTCCAACTCAGGCTTAAACGATCCTCTTGCTTCAGTTTTTCTATTTTTAGTACAGACAGGGGTCTTGATTTTGCTCAGGCTGGTCTTGAACTCGCGAGCCCAGGCAATCAGGCAATCCACTTGCCCCAGCCGCCCAGAGTTCTAGGATTACAGGTGTGAGCCACTGCCCGGCAGCAGTGTTTATTGAATGTGCCAGGCACTGTGCTGGATGCCAGGTACATCTATAGATACAGATAAACTCGGCAAGCCTAGCCTCCCACCCTGAGGAGCATGTAGAAGAATGAGAGAGTTAGACCAAACAAACAACTATTTATAATCATTTTTAATAGAATTGTTCTTCATTATGTGATCACCCACTTGATGTGCTTAATCCCTTCATTTAAACCCTTGGAAACATAAGCACCTCCACTGCCCCCTCCTGAATTATTACTACTGCAGCCAAACTGGCCTTCTCCCCATCTAAAGTCCCCCTTTAGCAGAAGCAGCTCTGGCTACAGACCTGATCTCTTTTTTATGTTTCAGGTTAATTTATTTTTATTGTATTTAGTTATTTTTTATTTCTGATTAAGATAAAGGTACTAAAAATTAGGTTACATTGTTTGGGTTTGTAGGGAAGTCTGTGTTGTAGTTGTGTCCCTCCCCCGGAGGTGTACTGTGCACCCTTACACTGTGCCTCTGGGTGAGAGCACACCAATCCCCCTTCCTCTCCACTCTCCCCACTCTGTCATTGCCCCCCCAACTTGAATTTAATTGAGTTTTTCTCGTGT